GGTATACTAGATTCGTCGGAAAGTATGTAACAGGCAGAAGGAAGCGTTTCCGACCCCATAAAGTATATATATTCTTGATCAGGATCACTAGCCGAGTCGATCTAGCCATGTCCGTCTGTCCGTCTGTCCGTCTGTCCGTCTGTCAGTCTGTCCGTCTGTCCGTCTGTCCGTCTGTCCGGATGAACGCTGAGATCTCGGAAACTATGAGAGCTAGGCTATTGAGATTTGGCGTAAAGATTCCTGAGCTTCTTACGCAGCGCAAGTTTGTTTCAGTAGACTGCCACGCCCACTCTAACGCCCACAAACCGCCCAAAACTGTGGCTCCTACAGTTTTGATGCTAGAATAAAAATTTTAACTGAAATGTAATGTTCTCATCAATACCTATCGATTGACCTAAAAAAAAGTTTGCCACGCCCACTTTAACGCCCACAAACCGCGAAAACCTGTGACGCCCACAATTTTTATGCTAGATAAAAAATTTAAACTGAAATGTATTCGTCTCGTCATTACCTATCGATTGATCCAAAAAAAAATTTGACACGCCCACTCTAACGCCCATAACGCTTAAATCTGTATACCGCCGGTAGGTGGCGCATTTTAATCTCGCTTTGCTACTTGCATATCTCTATTTAGCTGAGTAACGGGTATCTGATAGTCGAGGTACTCGACTATAGCGTTCTTCCTTGTTTCATGTTAGGAATCTCTATGTTTAAACTTTACTTATTACATTATACAAAAATTAAAACAACTTTAAAATAATGTGTAATATGACTGCCTGAAGGAAAGTGGAAATTTTTTACTGCATACTTTTAGACACCCATATAAGTGTTTTTAAAACTTTTGATTTTATTAAGATTTTTTTACAGTATATGCTACCATGTGCTGTTTTCTGAATCCCAGCTCCGTCTGGGGGCGGCACTTTCTTTTTATGACTGCTCTGCTGCCGTCAAATAAGTGAAGCGCGAACTAATTGAAATTTGTTGCGCTGACATGTTCTACAAGATCTGTTTCTGCGACGAAGATGCTGCCCTTGTCGATCGTCTCCAGCTCATTAGCCTCTTCCCGTCGTAGTTATTGTCTAATTTTAATTAATTTATCACAAGCATAAAGTGGCGCAACTTGTGACATTCTCCCCCGGCGATGCCCCCACAACAAATCACTCACACGCCTCGTTGACCGACCAGAAACTTGCGAGGGGAGACATAAATTTCCACCCGGGATTCTTGGCATTGCCCGACAATCAAACGGAATTTACGACAACTTCTCGTCTCGTCTTTTATTTTGACATGCTTAACAAACAGGCGAACTCGCAACAGCTCATTTGATTGGGTCGTTTGAATGCCACAGCAGGTAGGAGCTGCACCCCAGTTGAATAATATGCAATACAAAAACTGAAAATACACCGCAATATGGGACTAGCTATATCAATATGTGAACTTCCACTGGTTCTTCCAGGTCTCCCGCTTGTACACATTCTTGTAGGTCTCCACGGACACCTGGAACTCCGGACCAAACAGGGTGTTTGCCACAACATTCTCCACAGCCAGATTTCGATTGGTAACCGCATGAACAATGAGCAATGGATAGTTTACCTAAAAGTGATAGGATTGATATTTTATATTAAAAACTAAATATAGAAAAGTTAAAGAAGGAACCGTAACCAAAGTAAGCTCAATCAATAAAAGAGACTAAAATAACTGTGTTTTAGAAATAATTTGAACTTACTGGTAAGCATGAAATCGTTTTTAAATCTAGACTATTATTACACAGTGTTTTTGCCTAAGTTTAACAATAAAACAAGTGGAGTTCGCAGAAAAATATATGCTGGTATTATTTCCATCTGCCCTCACATTTTAACATATGTACATATCTAATTTGATTTATATTAAAATACAATTTTGTTATAATAAATTGAATCCTGATATTCAAACACTCTGAAAAAACACCTTTTTAGTAATTATAAGCCAATATCAATTAATCCAAAATTTTACAAACCAAGTTAAAGTGTTCTCTTTTTTCCTCTCGAGAAACAGTCAAGAATGCTTTCATCTCTCTTTTCAGAGCGCCTTTACTCGCATAACAGCCTTGAGAGCATAACAGCCTTGATTTCAAGAAAGTTTCTTCTCGAATGAGTAGGAAAAGTATTTCTCAAATTGAGAATATTTAATCTTGGCTCTTCCGTTCTCAGTTTCTATACTTTTTATGGTTTTCACACTTACTGGTATAGTTTTGCCCTCACTTTCGAATCGCAGATCGGGGTCCTTGTGGGCACAAAAAAAGTGAGTGTGTGAAGAGGGCACCCGGGCAGATGGACCGCAGTTCTGTTGAATATTTAAGTATGGTTAATAATACTATTAAGATCGTGAAAAATAGAACCCACCTTGTGCGATACCAAACCCAATGGAAGTGTAACCTCGCCGTGTTTGGTGGTGTAGAAGGCCTTCTCCACGGGGAGTGAGAGGTTCAGCCTCTTGGGTCCGCTGAACAAATACATGGGCTCATCGGTGGGTTCAAGGGTTTGGAGGCGGAACTTCTCGCCGTACGCCAAGTACTGACCGGAGCGGTCATCGTCGTTCGGACTGACAATCCGGAAGCTGCTGCGCAGCGAGGGATGTGGAGCAGGTGCCACCGAAAGGTCGCACATCTCGTTGATGGTGTGGCAGTTGCGGTGCAGACCCTCCTGGGTGATGACCACCGACAGGACCAGGTTCTGATCGATGTCCTGCTGGCGGCAGACGTTGATCTTTACGGGCCGGAGCTGCACCAATGCGCCGAAGGCCAGCACATCCTGCGGAGGACCCAACACCGTCTCCTGGTAGAAGCGGTCGTACACGGCGCGGGTTCTGTCCAGCAACAGGTTGCCGCTTTCCCTGCGCTTCTTCATTTCGCTCACACGCATCTTTAAGGTGTATAATGTTACTTATAAAGCATTTATGAAATTATTTTGGCTTTATTAAAAATCACAGAGGAGAAAAAATCATATTTTACATTTCCTTATGACATTGCAAATAATAAGCCTTTAGTTACATTTTTTTATTTTAAGGACACAAAATAATACATTTACGAGGAAAGTTTAGACAAAGTTTAGACATTTTTACTGCTTGTTTTCCAATTTTTTTAAAGTCATAACGAAAAAAGGTAATTAAATAATATGTATGGGTAAAATTTACCAATGCAAATAGTTACTTGACTATAAAAAAACAGGAGAAATTGATTGTGTGTGTGATTCCTATGACAATAGTTTAACCTCTTAAACTGTAATAAATGTTTATAAACTCAATAAAGGTAATAATATAATTGGTTACAATTAAGAAATGCTCACCTCCTCGGACAAGGCAGTTTCCAGCCAGTTACCGACTCTCACTCCGGGACCATACATGGCTCTGCTATAACTTAAAAGATGGATAATAGGAATGGCTGTATTTCCACATTTATATGTGGCAGTAAGTCAGGTGGTGAGAAAGCTTCCCGCCTTTCCTAGTATTTTTGTGTGGTGTGTCTACCTAGTGACAACCTGGTAACCACCTACTACGATGTGTTTTCTTTCAAGATCAAAGACACATACATATAGTTCCCTGCTCCGGGAGCCACACACAAAGGCTACGCACTGGCAACTAACCGAGCATAAAATTTGCATGCGGCGCTTTGGTGGCGGCTTCATCTTTGATCCTGTCAAAGAGGCGAAAATAAATTGCTCAATTATGAAATATTAACTGCACACGAGGCCGGCGAGGAGCCGAGAGTCCCTGGCGCAAGTTAATTACTCATTTGTTGATTGTCGACTGTGGTTAATGAAGTATCCAACTAATTACATGTCGAGACGGGCCGAGAGTGCGCATGTCATCAGTAGTCCTCCGAGGAATTGCCGCTCATATTGAAAAATGCCGCTGCGGAAATTGAAAATGCCGGGGCATCTTTGGACCGCTTTTCCACCAGCTGCCGAGGAGCCAACGACTTGGAGCCGGCAATTTATTACCTTTCCCTTTGACATCTTGACACAATGTCGCCATCCCTCTCGGCACCCCATCTTCATCTCGAATCCGGTGGCTCGCGTTTCGAGTAGTTTCCGTGGGACTCCGAAATCACCCGCATTCATCTTTTGACAGTTGAAACTCATCGCACTGGCGTCTAATTAGATTATTTGTCAGCTTCCCTGCTGAATGGTTAGTGGCTCATCCCCAAAACTTTGGCATTCCTTCTCGATTGGCCCAACATTAGTGAGGTGAGGGTGGGGAAAACTACGGAAAGGGGCTTGCTAATTAGATAGTCCATCACTTGGATTGGCTAGGTGGAATAAACTGATGTTAATGTGGTACTCGCAAGCCCATTAAATATTTACATTGCACTTACTTCTTAAAAACGAAAACAATTTGGATAGATTGTGCCTTTGTATATCCCAAAATTCGACACAGATACGAAGTAGAGCCCTGCGTAACAAATAAAACGTTTCGATCCCAGATATGATCTTAATTGTAAATATGTCACTTGTTATTGAAATGTTTCGAAACATTCTGAGATGAGCTTTACAAATTTTGATTGTAAAGATGTTAAAATAATTGGATCTGTACTTCAGATCTAAAACATATAAATTGCAGTCGCATTGTTCTGAAGAATTCGCGGTTGCATCTTGGGTCTTTCCCTTTTTAGGAGCCTCGAAGCGAAAGTTTCGATTTCGATTATAGCCTTTTAAGACAGAACTAAAACACGCCGAGAGTTTATTAGAATTCCTATGTAAAGTCAACTCTTACAGTTTTCGGGATCTCCAAGTTCGACGTCTGGAAAAGTCATCTTGATCATAAGTATTCTTGTTTAAAATGTTTCAACTGTTTGACCTAAAAAAAAAGTTTGATACACATATTTTAAAACATAACCTTGTTACTTGTAGTATTGAATTTTATTTGTATTTCCTTTTTATTATATTTTGTTTTTTTTTTTGCTTAAACAAACAGGAAACAATTAACTTAGCATTATTTTTACAATTAGCTTTAATTAGAAATAATAAAAATATTGAAGCTTTTTATTTTTTTATCCTTTTCTGTTGTGTTTACAATGTTTATGTGTATTTAGTTTACAATAATTTGTTTAAATGGTACTGTTTATTGAAATAGATGTTCGCGTGTATATACAGTAAAGCAGCGAGGAGCGGCCGCGACCCAAAGCCAAACTATCCCGGATATATATCGCTATATAAGTAGTTGATATTTGGCGTTGTCGCGAAAGCGCTCGTACTTCCACTTTATGTTACAACAATTTAGTTAATTCGACTACTAAATATACATGTTACATGATGCCGCATAATGCTTTTCTGCTGCTTTGTTGATTTATTTTAATTTACTCGTTTAATGTATAATTCCATTAATTGTTTTTACGTTTTCCCACCTTCGGTTGCATCGCTTTAAGTTTACCATTTTTGTTAGAATTTCTCTTTTTTCTTTTCGCATTTTTTATGTACATAAAAACAAAAGGAACTATATCTTTCAGTCTTTTTAGTGTGTGTATGTGTAATGTATGTAAATGTGTGTGTGTGTGTGGGTGTGGGTGTCGGTGTGCATGTGTGTTTGTGTAGAATATCTATTGTTTCGTTATGCATATAGCGTATTACATAGTTAAATTAATATAATTGTTTCTTTTTGTTTCTTTTTTATTTTGTTTGTTTTTTTTATAATTTTTACTTCAGTTTTCAGTGTAAATATCGCTTGCTTCCCAGTTTTGTTTATATAATTAGCACTAGTTGTTTTCCTCCTTTTACTTTATATATTAAAATTAGTTCAAGGTCTCCTCCCAAACTCTTTCTCCAACTTCTCGTTCTCGTTCTTACAGTGCCTACGATCTAAGTAATTTGTATAATTCATTTAAATATTTAGTTTCCTTGTTTTCGCTTTGCATCTATAAAATAAAAACAAAAAACGTTGCACATGCTTGTGTTTTTGCTTTTGCTTTTGTTTTTGTTTTTGTTTGTTTTTGCTTTTCTTTGCTTTCATTTAGTCATTAAATATATGTGTTTGTATAGTTAAATATATAATAATATAAAGAGCGAAGGCAAATATCGAATACTTTTGTTGTAGTTGTTTTTCGTTTAAAAATTCCATTTGTTGCAGTTGTTGTCGATAATGTAAATGTTGTTGTTTTTGTTGTTGTTGCTGTTGCTGTTGCTAAAGTGGGTTATTGCTTATTTCGGATTTTCAAGAGAATGTTGTGTGCTTTTGCGTTTTGGATTTGGATTGGACTCGGGGTTCCGATCCTCTGCTAGAAATCGGAGAACTGTCAGGATAGTACACTCAGCAAACATATCACGTTCAGTTCCTAATTATGTGTAAATATATATGTATGGTATATAATTTGTCTATTGTTTCGTCTATGAGCTATTGTTGAATAATTAAATTAGGGAAAACAAAATCCGTCCGGTTTCTTGTTCATATTTGAGTTAATGGCGTATGGCAGATTATTTAGGTCTAGTGAAAGTGTTGTATATGAGTCTATGGATTTTTTGTTTCGTTAAGATTTGCTTTTATCTATAGTTAGTACATAAAATGCTTTTGCTTCGTATATAGCGTGTGTTGTATAAAAAACGACAGCAGATTGTATACAATAATTATGATGCATCAGTTAGTTAAGCTCTCAGTTTGAAATTACGTTATGGTTTCCTCTTCCTTTTAATTCCCTTTCATTTTCCGAAGCTTGGCTTCAACGAAATTTAATTTAGAAAAAAAAATTAAACAAAAGTTTTTGCGCTTGCTTTGGCTTAATGGGCCAAGTATGTAGATGGTACTTCTAGAGCAGAGCAAACTTTTGCCAGTTAAACAATAAATATTACAATTACGCAATAAAAAAGAGAAGAAACTATAGGTGAAATATGAACAATCAAGCAACACTTACCACTTGCTTAAAATAATCGTAGGTGTAAGTGTATAAATAAAAATCAGGGGTAAAAGTGCTAAAACTGCATGGCATTTCGACATGCTTCTAAAATTAGCTGAGTAACATTAAAATTTAGTTACGTTTAGGTATTTGGATAATTATAACTATCGCTAGCTAACTCAGTGAAGACAGTTGTTGTTTGTTTTGTTTTGTTTTGTTTTTGTATTGCTTGTTTGCTGTTGTATAGTTCATCTATTTCTGTTTTTGCTGTTGTTCCGTTTCCGTTTCCGTTCTGCTGTTTTCCCCTTACTCTCGCCTTGCTCTCTGCGATTTGGTAGGTACTAGAAATTATCATAATTAATATACGTAGTAGGTATGAGTTATAAGTTATAATTGGTAGAATTTGTATGTCTATTTAAACGGTACTTAGGTTGGTTGGTTGTTGGCTTTTGTACTTTTGTTATTTGCATGTAGGACTTGTTTTTCTGTTTCTGTTTTCTCTGCTTTCACTATCGTTCTCTGCTCTCGTTTTGTATTGCGTTAACGGCTCTAGTTCATTAATTTAAACAAACAAAAAAAAAGTAGAGTAAATACTAAACGAATACGTAAACATAAATAGGCTTAATCGAAACTATTGGTATTATACATGTGCGGTCAGGGTGGTTCGATGTTTTGAACAGAGAATCATAATGGAGGTAAGCAATCTTTTTGCCTCGTTCTTAGCAATTTAGCCCTAGTTTAATTATTCTCATTTCTTTTCGTATAATCGCTGACAATACCGTCTAAAAACACATTTGGAAAAAAATAAATTCTATGAATCTCAATTTTACAAATTTTAAAAGTCAAGTCAAAAAGGATTTACACTAAAATGTTTTTTCCTCATCAATGAATAATTTCGAGCAAAATAAGTGACTTTAATTTTGCAGCTTCTTTGCTAGAAATAGACAGTTGATTGCTTCCCGATTCCACTGATATATAAATATTTTTCTTCCACTCTAATCTCGCCACCCTAGTTTGCAGGCATGGGAAGAGTCGAAGTCAAGGAAGCTTGGCTTGCGGCAAAAGTTTGCTACTCTATACCCGTGCGTCTTCCCCTCGTTAATCTATTTACAGGTTTTTCTACAGAACTACGGTCCAAACGATTACGCCTCCCTTCCGATGAATCCATTGGGCGGCGGGGGCCTCGGCGTGCTCGCCGGGCGCAGCCAGCTCTCCTTGAGCAGGTTGGACAGGTTGCCGGCCCCAGTAGTTGGGACTCCGGAGTTGCTGTTCGTCGGCGACTTCCTGGTTTGGCTGACACTGCGACTGCGAGGCGGCTGCGACTTGCTGGGCACCGCCCTCTGCCTGGGCCGACTCAATGGAATGCGCTCCATCTTGATGTGCTCCACATGCTCATCATCCACATCGTCGTCCTCGTCGTCCTCCTCCTCCTCCAGTTCATTGTCCTCGTCGGAGCTACTTTGGCGTGCATTCAACGGCGCCTGCATGGGCTGGTAATTCGGATTTTGGCTGATGGTCACTCCCGCCATCTGAACAGGTGGCTCATTCATGGGCACATAGTTCGGATTGGTGCTGATCAGACTGCTGGGCGGGTGCATCATCTCGTAATTCGGATTGGGACTGCTGGTGGTCAGGATGGTGGCCTGTTCGCTGGCCATCGATTCGTCCAGCAGTCGGTAGTTGGGATTGTCGCTAATGGCGATACCACCACCTCCTCCGCTGGGCGTGGCCGTGGGTGTGTAGAAGCGGGGAGTGCCTGTGTAACTGCCAGCCGAACCACTGCCACCACTCTCGATGGTCCCCAGATTGCCCATGGCCACCGGGTGACTTGTCAGGTTGGTGTTACTGCTGGTACTCGGAGCATTGGAGGCATTACTCTTATGGCTGGCATTGCTGCCCGTTCGCTTGTGGTTGAGCACATGGCGATTAAAGAGATTGGCTCGATTGCGGAACGTGTCCGCCACTGCTCTTTTGAGACTAGGCAAGCGTCCTGTGTGGGAACTTGCATTGGAGCTGGCCGCCGAGGCCGTCGAGGGCTGCAGCGAGGATCCGCCGATGACATCATCCGGCATGGAACTGCTCATGATGACAGGCTGCCGGCCCTTTCTTGGCAGCAAATGCTGTTCTCCACTGAGTTTTCCTCCGCCTCCAGTGCTGCCACTTCTGCTCGTCGGTAGCTCGGCACATTTCGGACTTGGATCGTAGATCTCATATCCCCGGTCGCCGTCCAAGGCGTCCGAGTCCGGTTGAACGTAGGCCGTAAAATCAGCAGCTTGCATGGCTGGAAGATTCTGGAATGCGGTTGGCATCGCAGTGTGGCCATCAGGTGTGCTGCTCGCTATGAATCCCGAGGGCAGGCTGAAGGGCGAGTGGGTAACCTGATCATCAACCATGGCGATGGGGCTCTCAGCCGGTTGATCCAAGGATGAGTTCTGCTCCATGTTGGATTTGTAGCCTTGATAGTCGCCCGTTCGCAACGGTGTGGTGGCATCCTCCTGCTGTTCTCGGTCCTGTAGATCCTGATCCAATGGCACCGCCGCAAATGCATCCATCTGGTTGCGCTCCTTGCGCTCCTTCTCCCGATGCTGCAGACCCACGTCCGAGTGATAGAAGGACACATCCTTGAACTTCGAACTGGGGCATTGCGGTTCGAGATACGCAATGATGTCCAGAAAACTTGGTCTGGCCGAAGACCTATGATGCCAGCACCTTTGCATAAGTCTGTGGAGTAAGTCCGGACAATTTTCCGGCCTTTCCATAACTCCGCCGTCCATGACGAAGCGCAACACTTGTTCGTTGGAAAGTCCTTGATATGGCTGAGCAGCCAAAGTGGCCATTTCCCAGAGAACCACTCCGAAGCTGAACACATCACTGGCACTGGAGTAGACGCCATCTCTCAAGCTCTCCGGTGGCATCCAACGCACTGGCAGCAGACCCTTGGTTCCCTTGCGATAGTAGTCCGTTTCGTAGATATCCCGGGTCATGCCGAAGTCACCGATTTTGACCGTCAGATCATCGGCCACCATGCAATTGCGAGCTGCCAGATCTCGGTGCACGAACTTTTTGGCCGCCAAATATGCCATGCCGTCCGCAATCTCAATGGCCATTTGGTAGATCCTTCCATAGGTCGGAGGCTGGGCGTTTCCGGTCACACCGATGCGATTAAGATACGCCATCATGGCCTCATCCCGCTCCTCGGGGCGATGGGCACGCAGATAGGACTTGAGGTCGCCCTTCTTCATCAGTTCCATAACCACCAGAGCGGGCTGACCCCTGGAGCAGACGCCTAGCAATCGAACAACATGATAGGTATCGAACTCCTTCATAACGCTCGCCTCGCTCAGGAAATTAGTTCGCTCGCGATCCGTGGCATTTTCGTTGACCGTCTTGATGGCGCACTCCATATCGTCGCCATTGCCCCGAAAGGACTTAAGGATTCCCTCGTACACCATGCCAAAGGATCCCTGGCCAAGGGGAGCCAACTGAATGATGTTCTCCCGCAGCACTTCCCAGTCGTCGGGGATGTACTGCATGCTCGCATAGAACGGATTCACCTCTGTGTTCATATGAAGATCGTTGGAGGGACCCCTCTTGCGAAGGTGACGGACATAGGCCATTAGGAAGACAATCAACAGGGCACCTGCGATCCCCGACGACCAGATAAAGTACTTTGCATAGCTCGGCGGAGGCTGTTTGAAAGAAAAAATGAGTACTCATGTTAGTGGAATCAGTTCAAATCATTTAAATATTATATGAGAAAGTATTATATTAACTAAAAATAAATATTTTTTAAGGCTCCAGCAATCCAATTTATTTGAATATTGGGACTGAGACCCATTGCCGAGATATAAGGGTGAAGGATTTGGATTTGGCGCACCATTTTCTTTGAACAAGATCATTTTTAAACCCACCTCCACTTCTTTGTACTCCAACTTCGTCCATTCGCCGTATCCCGCTATTGAGTTCGCTCGCACCCTGAAGCTGTACAGGCCCTCGTTGAGCTTCAGTGGATAGCCGGCGGTCTGGTTATAGTCCGCCACCGGGATGCACTTCTTTTCTTCCACTTGATCGGGCTTCTGCAGCTTGTAGGCCACTTCGTAGGTGACAATCTCGCCATTGGGATCGACTGGTGGATCCCAGCGGAGCCGCACCGAGGACTCCGTGTTGTTGGCGTTTTCTAACTCTACTATCAGCTTAGTGGCATTGTCAGCTTGATCTGAAAGTATAAAAATCGTTAGAAATAGACTATAGATAATATACTATTTTTTCTGACAACTTACCCCTTTTCTTGGTCGTTTGGAAGACGCTATCGTATTCGCTGCAAAGCGCAGGCATCAACAGCCTGGTCTTATTTTTTTCACTAGGGATTGCTTCTCTACAGGCTACCACGTAGATGGAGTAGCGAGTGAAGTGGCGCAAGTTTTCGAAAACAAAATGCGTTTGATTGGGCGGCAGCTCCCTCGCAAACACCTCGTAGAACTTTTTATTGGCAGACAAGATTTCGTGGTCCTTAAACGTGTCCTCGTCATCCTTGGCTTCGTCATCGGCCGCCATGGACCGCACATGGCGGAGTAGTACACTGCCGCCCGTAGCATCGAACTCTGTCTCCAGGGGAAGATGACGTCTTCGGCGGGAGGGATTCTTAGCTCCACCGTTTGGAATTGCATTGGAATCGAGGGCTGCATTTCCAGATTCATTCGATTTGTCAGTTGATCCGGTCCTGTTCCTCCGTTGGTTCGGAACGAATACAAAGTTCTGCAGCGTGTTCTCAAACTCCATGCCCGCTTGAACATTACGGTCGTCGAAATCCTGTTTACTGTACTTTTTCGATGTCTCATCGCATTGGCAGTCACCAGACAACTGATCCGGTATTTTTTTAATAGGCACCGTGGCCGGCATATCATTTTCCATGGCTTTTTCAAGAGCTGCACACAACAAGAAATTAATGTTATTTTAAACTTCATTTGGTAATTACAATAATGTATAGAGCTTACGTTCAGAGCAGTAGTCCCGGTTATTGTTCCGGAATGGTCGATTTATCAGTTTTGCTTTTATAAAGAAGCGTGTCAGGACGCCGTAGGGCTTTTTTAAATAGCTCCAGGTTACGTTCTGTGAAAGAAAGAAAGTTGGATTAATACGGCATTTACAAAATGGTCGTCCAATCTTTTTGAGATAGATTTTTCTTTAAAATCTTTTCGTTCCGATAGGGCCATACTCACAATTTTGGAATCAGAGATGGCGGTGACCACGACCTCGGTCACCTTTGAAGGTTGGCCAGGGTTTGTTTTGAACTCCTCTACCGCACTTTCTGCGTTGGTCAATTCCGAGGATATGGCCATGGTCCGGACGTAATAGACGTACCTCGTGAAAGGTACCAAGTTGGCCAACATAGCCTCACCGCTCTTGTCGGGCGCACTTACTTCCCAGCGGTCGTCGCAGGGATCGTCGTTGCTTTTTGATGGGAATCCAACCGGATATCTCATGTGATAGAAGACGTAACCGATGAAGGCTCGAGGGTCCTTAAAAATTACGGTCGCATTGGTCGGCTCGCGCGGCTCTCCCAACTCTACCCGGGATGTGACATTTACCATAGCAAATCTCGATCCCACACTTGTTGTAGTGACTGTGAGAACTTCGGTTCCACCTGTAAATTAAATCATTCGAATCAGTTTTTGCCAAATTATTTATTATATAATTTTGAATGTTTTATAATCGAGACTAGGGACTATGAGCACTCACAGGATCCGCGGTTTCCGTTCGAGTCTGTGGCCACATCGCGCTTGTCGAAAGACGTCGGCTTAGAGGCCAGCATGGGCAGCAGTCGGTTGATCGTGGACACGCACAGTTTCTGGTTGAAATGAAAGAAGACGCCGCCATTCCTAATGAAAACCGTTTGATTCGGTGGCCAGAGCTCCTCCAGATCGCGATTATCCAGCACATACAACGCGAACCTTTTCGACTCCATCGGCGGATTGCCGCTAATTTCGGTTAGGGATTTGAAGAATTTCAACGATTTCAAGCCGTAGGTCAGGTGAACCATTAGCGAAGATTGAATTTTATGAATGGCACCCAGGTTCTTTTCTAATTCATCCATGACGTGAACTGGGGAAAGAAAGAAATAATTAATTAATATTAATTTTGCTTTTTTGCTAAAAACATTAGAATTAAAACACAAATAAAATCAATAAAAGGACCACAAATAACTTCAGCTACTTGTTCAAAATATATTGGTGACACTAGCCACTCCAAGCCACTTAGTTACTCAAAACCTTTTAAAATAATAGTGCGATCGGTAAGATTCTCGGTATATAACAAGGCATTAGTAAACAAAATCATCTTCAATATACACTGAAAGAAAAAAACACTTCACTTTAAATTTTCATAGTGTGGGCGCCAAACATTTTTGCGCTGCGCAAGATTCCCTAGAATCTACGTGCTCGAACCCAACTTTCTAGCTTTCAAAGTTTAAGACCTCAGCGTTCATGTGGACAGACAAACGGACAAGGCTAGATTGACTCCACTAGTGATACTGATCAGGAACATCAATCCAATATAAATCCGGATTATGCCATTATAGGGATGTATTTTGTTTAGCTGAATAATTCTGTCCCGTTGCACATGGAACACTCACCACCGCTTTCACGTTTGATGCTGATAGTAAGGGGATCTTCTCCTGTTATTATGGTGCAGCCCAGATACTCCCGCGCGCGCTGCAAGCTGTCGATGAGACCGGGGGCGCACTCCTTGTCACACCTGCCGCCTGGGCATGGTTCGCACAGGACCTTTGAGTCCACCTGTTTGTAGCCTGGTGGACAGCGGACCATACAATTTCCGTGGAAGGGGATGCCAGATAGTTCCTTGCCCTTTTCGAATTTTGTCAAATTGATGCACTCCCTTTCCGTAACGCAGCGGCTGTCGAACTGTGGATGATAAAACAGGTCAAATATGGGCCATCATAGAGTGGAATTTGAGGTGCAGGTCTTACCCGAAAATAGCCAATCGGACAGGCATCCATGCAAACGTTATTAAGCGACACATTTCGACAGCTGATGCAGCTCTCCTTCCCATTCTTGTCTCTGACGCATCCCAAACAGTCCTTGTGGCAGCACGTTTTCTCATCAATGCAGTTGTTTTTGCACTCCGCGGGACAAACTACAGAAAGGAGAAGTACAAGTCAAAGTCAGTACAGGACGAACAGGCTGTTTTTTGGATAAACTCACTTGTCTGGCAGTTTTTGCTGTCCCAGCAAAGCCGCTGTTTATTGTGCTCGGGACACCTGGGGCCAAGCTCCACTGCTGTGGAATCGTGGCTACTTCCCATTCTGAGTTCCCCCGGACACTTGGAAAGCTGGCACTCGTGGCTGTTCTCCGACAAAATGATCTGCGATTGATTTTCGTTCCCAATAATGTTCTCCCAGTTGATGGTCCTTTCGAAACACAGCTTATGATTCCTCTCGATTCGAATGGCGCCGTTGGTTATTGACCGCAGCCTGGGAAGACCCAAGTCCATAAGATCCGCATTGGAGAAGACTATAAGGGCGTATCCGTCCAGTAGTGAGAGTCCCCTAATGACGTTCAGGTTGGGGAAGACCTGCGACAGCGAGTGCAGCCCGGTTACCCGGTAGACCACAATAAAGTCGGTGACCTCGGTTAGATCCGGAAACGACCTGTTCAGGGGGCCGGCGTCGTTGATCAGGTTGATCAGCAGGAAGCCCTCTATGATGGTGCAGTTTTCCAGCTGATTAAAGTGCGACGCAGTATTCCTAATATCAATCGATTTACAAGCTGTAAGGGTGGAAGGGAAGACTATTAGTTTCTGTTTTTTTGATGTACTTTTTGTGATATTACAAAACCACTCTAAACAGTATATATGCAGAAAATTTATACATCATAAATATATCGAACGAAATCTTAAAATCTTATATATCCCAGAGTCGAAGAGAATATATATACATATACAACAACTAAGATATAATTTGTATTGTCCCTATTTCAGCTATACACCAATTAAATACCAATTTATTTCAAAATTTGGAAATACTAAAAAATTCTATATTTAAGGGTAGAAGATAAGATCAAAAGAAATGAAGCTACAGGTATTCCATCTAGCGGTCGTTTTCTGAACCACCTATTATTTCGTCGTTGACAGTTCGACATTTGACATTTAAATTTAAATTTAATTAAATATTCTTTAATGTTAAAAAAATTGTATTCGCTTGAGTAAAAAGAGAGTAAGTCAAAAAACAATAAAGCTAAAAATTTGTTTAATTTCGTTGCTAGTTTATAGTAATGATTAGAAAAATATTGAAATATCAACATTTAAAAGAAGAAGTCTTTTCAAATAGATTCAACTCGATATATTGAGACGGTGAGACGGACATGTCTAGATCGACTCGTCTAGTAATGCTGATCAAGACGATATATACTTTACAGGGCAGAACTTTTTCCCTCTGCAAGGGTACTAAAAATAAAGTCCTAAAATATGGAAGTTTGGAAACTTAACTACCAAAATTTTTGAAAATTTGTACAAAGTTATTGGTTTTTTGATAGGTATGTATATTATACATACGTTTTATGTCCGATGACAATCGCATTGTTTCGTTGGATTTGCTCCTGGTCGATCGCGAATGTGCAAATACCTCCAGTGCCGTATTATCCACACCATCGGTTATATCGTTATGTTGCAAATGCTGCGGCTGCTGTGGCAACACGACCGATGCAGTGGCATGTAGGGCCATAAGATTGAGGGCTAATATCCAGATCAGACTATTATTCCAATGACGAAAATGGCGCTTGTAGTGATGAAACCGCTCTTGTTTCTCTGGTTGTTCTTTTAGTTGTTGTTGTTGTTGTTGTTGTTGTTGTTGTTGTTGTTGTGGAGTGGCACGTGGCAGCTGTTGATTATGTTTTAGTTGTTGTTGGTTGTAATTGTTAGGGCCTAAGCTCAGTCTTGTTGTTGCTGCTGCCAGTGTTTGTAGCAGCAATAGGAATTTTGTGTAATTTACATTCGATTGCTGCTGCTGTCGCCTGCGTCGCCGGTTGAAAATGCCGCAATTGAACATGAGCAGCAGCAGCGACTGCAGGGTTCGCAATATATTGTGACAATTGCTGAAGATGTTGAACTTTTCGCGTTGCGTTCGATTGTTTTTCGTGCTGCCAACGTTGCAGCGATTTCCAATGCACCGCACGCCCATCGTTCTCCTCGTTGTTTCCACACTTGTTTGGCACCGACTTTGAGAACAAGTCGCAACTGCTACTGAACCATCCGATATCATTTCAAAAAAGGCGAATGCCTTGTGTTCAAAATTCAAGTTCAAAAAGCCGTTACCGACCGCACTGCTTGCACTGTAAACTTTCCAGCCGCGCGAGCTGTTAGTTTCTTCGCTAACAGTGGGTGTCTCATCCAGTTCGACTGCTTGCTCGCAGCAACATGTATCCGGCAACATTGCTGATATGTAAAGATTTTCGTTTATTTAATATTAATAAATTATTTTTGTATTACTATAATTGATAATATTTTTATTTTAGTTTATTACTTACCGTTTGGTCCATCGTTTTGAGTGAATGGCGGATGTAACGACATTTCCCTTCGACACAAAACACAAATGTTGCCAGGCGTAACAGTGGTTGTTGCTGCTGTTGTTGTTGATGTTGCCATATCGTTGTTTTCCATCTCGATTTTCTCGCGCTTTAATTTACCTTTTGTCACCTGCCGTTGCATATTGAACATATTCCGGTGTTTATTATAGTTTATGTTGCATTTTCCTTTATCTGCTGGCTTTTCGGAGGCTTCTCTTTCGCACTCCGCCAAGTAATCATCTTTCATCCCGCTCTCGCACGCCGTTGCAGCGGAAACCAGCAACAAATTCAGTATTGAACTTTAGTTTTTCTTCTAGGGGGTTTTTCTGTTGTCGTCAGTTGGAATGCAATTTTTCTCCGTTTTTCCCTCTATTTTACTTCGCTTCTGCGACTGTAATGAGATGGCAGAATGTGCAAATGTTGTTGTTAGTTCTCAAGTTTAAAAACAATAAAAAGCAGAAACCTACGTAATATTATGCGAAAAAGGGCGCCAAGTGCTCGGCACACGTGTCGAACTACCTGCCGTCTGTCGATCTCTGTCGCACGAACCGATTTTAATTTTAACGCTCGACACTCGTCATTTCTCTATAATTATTGCAGCTAGTACACACGAAAAAATGTTATGGGTAAAGTTTACCAATACAGATAGTTACGTAACTGTAAAACAACGATTAACAACTATGGAAAGCAGTGACGTGTATGTTACTATTTAATAGTTAAACTACCATAAAATGTTAAGTTGTGAGTAACTATTTCGTTGATCAATGGTTTGGGACCATTTAATTATTATATTGGTACATTATACCCAGTTGTTTTTTCGTGTGTACATATGGGGCTTACGTAGGACGGTAACAAGACCTATTTCACATTTTGTTTATCGCTAAAAGCCCTACAGAAAATACGCACGATGTATGATTATGTATTTATTGAAAAAACATTTGTGTGTATGATGATCATGTAAATAATGTTAAATCTTGATAACAGTTGCCAAATGCCTCTTAAAATAGAACTGCTTATATGACTCCAATTTTGTACACTTACAAAACAGGAACTTCAAAGTTTTACATAGATCCCATTATGATTTTATAAACCTTTCAAAATAGTGACTTTTTAGTGTAGAATTTAATGAATATAATATAAGAACTAATATTAAAACATTATTTTTACTAGTCCCGACAAAAATTACTAATCTTTTGCTCCTGTTTTCCTGTTTTAACTTCAAATAAACATTTTTTAACCAACTATTTTCTTTCATCCCACAGTTTCAACATTTTGAGATATACTTTCTTAACTCATGACCTAGCAACGAACGAATTGAAACTATTTTGGCTTTTCAATAATTTAAATCTGCTGAATAAAAACACAAAATACCATAACAACAAATGCAAATAGTCGAGCTGAAACAGCTGAGAGCCGGCGTGCCGCTCTGGCCGTCTCGCTCGCACTCGCCGAAAGAGGAGTGCGGCTTGCTGAATAAAGCAGTAACAGTAACAACAACAAAATAAATAATTTTATGCGGCAGACAAAAGAACAGAATAAATAAAAATGGCAAGCATATGGAGAGCGATTTTTTTCGCCCTAGCATTGACGTTTATTTTTTTGTTTTTTGACTGTATTTTTCCCTATTTATTTGTTTTGTTGCTTTTTGAATGACGCGCGACATTCGTTTGACGTCGGCAGCGCAGTCGCGTTGTAAAGCGTAGTAAATAGTAATTGCAAGTGTGTGCGATTTTTACTACGCTGTAATTCATCAAAATCTACGCTTTTCCCAACGGGTGTTGCGTGCAAAGTGGTTTGCACTTACTACTATTTTCATCTTCTAATTCTGGGGCGTAACTTGGGGCAGGAAAAGGGAAAATGCGGCTGCGTGGCAAAGGAAAAGGAAAAGGCGAGCGGAAAGAGAGCGGGTTGTGCGAATTGTGAATTTCTGCTGCGTAGTTGGAAACGTAGTAGATGTGCCCCACACACAAACGCACAAAACCAAATAAAAAAATAAAACCGCACACGCAATTTGTTCTTGTTTTGCAAATTATTCTAGCTTGTCGCCGCTCAAAAAAAAAAAAAAAACAAGCAAAAAATTAACAAAAACCTCTCTGCTTTTCGCTCCCTCTCTCCTGCTCTTTCTCCTTCTCTCAGCATGCTCTCATCTAATGCTGCTTGTTTATTATGCTTGATTTGTTTTTGTTCCTATTGTTGCTTTTATTGCGCAGTAAAAAATAATACCATCGGCGAGCAATTGTCGCGCTATAAATACATAAAAAAAATGTTCAACTAAAATAATTAAAATGGTTATAGCACACACATAAAATTAAGAGACTCGCCCGAAAAACAAAAAACAAATATACTACAACTTAATAAAACGAGCTCTCCTCTCACAAACACACTCGACACGGTGACTCCCAAACTGTGCCTCTCAAACCTTCACCCGGTGTGTGAAGGTGTGTATGTGTGTATGTATGCATGTGTGGGTGACCCAGATTCCGCCGACTGTTTTTTTTTCAGTTTTATCGTTCAGTTCAAACCAACAACTACTAACTAAGAAGAAGAAAATTCCGGTGAGCAACATTTCCGGACAACACAACATTGTCAGAAGATCGGAGGCCTGATGATGGCCGATATGGCTATAGCGATAAGAAGATAGTAGAAACATCAAAATTTCCAACATTCGCAAAAAACATGCATGTAGTCCGAAAATGTTAGCAGAAAGAAGAGGTCTCTTTGAAAACAACTAAACCTTTTCTATTCATAGCTAGAAAAATAAATTATCTTAACTTCTTGGAAGTTTTAGGTAATTTTTGGGAGTTTAGAAGCTCTAGCTATACTCTTTAAAGTACCACAGAAAAAGTAATTTGTGAATCTATAATTAGATAAGAAATAACAAATTTGTAGATCGGAACAGTATATAAAAATATTTTTTTAATTACAAGATACTTTATGATTTTCACCTAAAAAATACAAATTCTGGATAGATTGCACTACCTATCTACCAACTGTAAAAAATGTAAGGGAAGCTAGAAATGTCCGATCTAAAACATTTGTGAAATGTTTAAGAATTTTTTGAAAAATCTTTGTTTTAACAACATTTTTGGATCGGAACAGAATATAAAAACATTTTTTTAAATTACAAGAATTAAAAAATAAAAATTCTGGATTAATTGCACTACCTATCTACCCACTAAAAAAGGTTTGAGATATCCGATCTAAAATATTTGTGAAATGTTGAAGGATTTTTTGGTAAACCTTAGTAATAAGTAAGATTCCAGTGATCCAATACTTAATATATTAGGAAACTAGTATGTTGCTAAGATACTTAATATTATACAAGGGGTTTAAGTCCAAATCTTTAATCTGCTATTAGCGTCATACTCCCCGAGTAACAGGCATAAAAATAGCCAAAGTTAGGAACTATGGAATGTACAAAGCTGCAAAACTCTTGCCACTTAAAAACGGTTAGATCTCGAAATATAGTTGCTCGGCTAAAGTGGAAACACGGCGGTCGCCGATGACGCGATAAGGGGTAGGGAAGGGCCGACCTAGGCCATTCTATAGCGAAACTGGCTCGGCTGGCGGCTTATCAGCACTCATTTACACACATGGAAATTAACAGCGAACGCAAACGGTCCGAACGCTGGCGAGCGTTTTATTGTTTAATTTCGTTTAACGCTCCTCGGGCGCCACTGTGCACGCGCCTCGTAAAAAAGTGTAAAGGTGCATTTGGCACGCCTAACTGTCATTTGCGCTTGTTTTTTACAACTCATTGTTTTCCCTTTTCTAAGTGCAAATGGCAAAACTACTTTAAAGGGCACTGTTTCTAGCCGCGAATGGGTTACTGTTTCCTCCGCATAAAAGATTATCTAAACACCAGTTAATATTTGACTTCAAATTGACAAAGTTTTGGTAAAGAACTTTACATTTCATAATTCAAACTCTCTAAACCATCTACAACTGAAAGTTCACTGAGTTAACTTTTAAATAATCTAAACAATTGTAAAATTGTTATTATTTACCATTGTTTTAGAATTATATTTGCTATATTTATACATAGCATTTATATTTGTTATTTTGTTATAAAGTTTAATTAAGGAAAGAAACCGTGTTTATGATTGTAAATTATAAATATACCGTAGAACTGCATTCTGGAAACTCCATAAAACTGCTTAGGAGGGTGCACTGCTTGAGAAGGACGTTAACTATTCAAGAACCACATAAAAGATATAAACCCCTCTACGAATACCCCCCATTTTATGAGCAGTGAATGTAAAAATGCTGATCTGAATAGCAAAAAACATTAAAAGCAAGAATTCCCAAGAAATTTACAAAATGCAGTGCTACGCACGCGTTGCTTTTCTCTTAGCCCCACTAATCTGACTCACTGGCAGAAAAAGAGGGGAAAACAACAACATTAAACACAGACGGTCAGAAGTAGCAATAACAACAATAATAATCATAACAATAACAACAACATTAACGTCGGCATTGACGCAATAACGGGCTGGAAAAAGGCCAGAAGACTGGAGAATGAGAATCAGAGACCGGAGACCAGAGACCGGAGAATCAGAGATCGGAGAGACTGAGAGGCCGAAGCCAAAAGCCAACAACATTCCAATCCTAAACAAAGCTGCCAGACCAGTTAAGAAGCAACGACAACAATCCGAAAGAATAACAAACAAAAACAACAGCCTCCAGAAGACGACGACTGGGGCGAAGAAGAAGAAGAAACTGAAGAAAGAGACCAATACCAAGACTAGCTTATTGAAATATTTCTTATGCTCCAAATCCAAATCCGAAGTCTTTTGGTCAAGTCTCTTTTGTTTTCCAAATTTCAAAGCAACCGAAAAGGTGGAAAACAATAAAATTATCGCATTATGATAAGCTGAGATCAGGCCAGACTCACTGGGAGATATGAACAATCAGAAACCTGATTCGGACGATCGAAAGTCAAACTTTATATCGATGGGCCGATGCCGATGCCGACGCCGATGATGATGATCATCGTCAGGTGGTGCCGCATCCCATTCATAATATCTCAATCTCGCCGGTTTGTCACAGCATCCACTTGTTTCCATTCCATTTGCCTGCCTTAGCGCATATTTTGTTGTATAATTCCGAAAAGCTTTATTTAAGCGAGCATTTAAATGGTTGAATAAATATTAATAGATACTTTAGCGATGTGTCTATATGGTCAACTGGGGATTCACCTAACATTTTACCTGACGATTCGTTAACAGGTGTTTAGTAAAAATTCCATAGAGGACGGACGCTTAGGAAAGTTACACTAGTAATAAATAGTCTGTCTTTTCTTTAAATAATACAAATTAATATGGGGGTATATTATGTCAGTTTACTTTGTTTTTTTTTTTTCATTTTCGCAACTCAATATTCATTCTATGGTTGTATCGTGACATCTAGAGACTTCTGAGATTAGGTATTCGAGTGATTCAGGCAAAATACATAGATACCTATCAGAACCAGTACCTCCGCACTGTCTTTCGGGATCACCATGACTTACAACTAAATACCGGTCACATGTGGCGCCCTCTAATCTTCAGATCTGCCCACTCATGCCCAGAATGCGGATCCAGCCGTTTGCTGTCCATCCAAATGTCGGTTTTCGCACAGGCAAAGGTGACTGAAACCTTCGAGCACTTAAATAGTTATACTTTTTTAGTTGTTGTCTTGGTATAAATATATATTTGTAGCACTGTGAGTGCGGGCCTGTTGTTTTGCTTGATGATATGGACGGTTTGTATGCGAATAGTGTTTTTGCGGCGAGTATCGGAGTGTGCGAGGTGCGAGTTCTAGATAAGCAACGTGACGCCGCCTCACGCGAGATAAATAACTTTGTCCCATTGCCGGCTAAGTGGCAGAAAGAGACGGCCACTGGCCGAGAGCGAGAGAGAGAGAGGTTGGAACTTTTGCAAATAACAAATATGACATTTAAATGCGACTACTAACGGGGGGCACAATTATCCATGGAGATAATGCCGCCTGCCCAGCCCCCAGATGTACGGAACCCAATTATACCATTTAATTGTGGGTGTCGGGCAGTCTTTCCCGCTGTGATGAAATAACAATGAATTATTTCATCAGTAATACAGTTTTTTGGGTGAGAATATTAAATGATAATACGAAATTAATTAAAGATACGAGTTGTTTGAGTCAATCATACATATATCTACAATGTACATATTAAAGATTTGTTATAAAACGAACCAATTTGAAATTTATGTTAAGCCTATACCTCGTTAATATTTGATGTTAATTATTTCTAGTTAAATATTTATTGGAGAAATTTCTCGATGGTCCTCACACAAAATTTGAGAAGAAAAACATAACTTTTTAAATCCATTTCCGACAATGGACTAGTTTTTAAATTTTTTTAAGATCCCAGTTTATGTATTGAAAATATAGACGTTATTATTTAGAAGAAAATGCACAAACATGACTCAAAAACATGAGGCACACGTTCAGCTCATAATGTAAAAACCGAAAACCCAACCACCATACATATAATCTGGATTCTTTGAATAAGTGGCTTAGCAAAATTATTATCGTTATTCACCAATTATTTATGACATTAACTAAACATTCCCTGTGGTTTGTTTGAGTTCGCAAACAAGTTTGGATTTTCCAATCTCATTCTGGGTATTTCGCTCGACTCACTTTGTAATCTCTATAAACAAGCTGCCAACCAACGACAGCCCATTATGCGGAATCGGTGTTTGGGCTTGGTATGCATTTCCCCAATCCACTGACTTTTTTACGACAAACAATTGCCCCGAAATAATGGCCGTTAATTTCAAATGAACTGGAGTCGTAAAGGCGAATAAAAGTGGCCTCTCTATGGGTGGATTCTTCGCCGGTTCTACGTTGAACTGACTCTCCAGCAAGCACTATGTAAGGCTGTACCAGGCGGTGCCTGTTTTTCCAGAGGGTTTTTATCGGGGAAGTTTTCAGAAGCGGCATTACATTAAAGGAGCTGGAAAACGCAGGGTGGAAACATGCGGGCAGGGTTGCTATGAAGCTATAAAACACTTGGAATTATGGAAATGAGTAAATGTCTAAATTTTAACGAGATACATAATTACTATGAGGGACATGAAAACCCTTCCAGTTAAAAAGCTCAATCTCGATATAGAGAATTTTAAAGCATATAAGAATATAATAATAATTATAATATAAAATAAGATTAAAAAAAGTAACAAATTGTAAAAACCGCGCGGTAGAGGTTTTTCCAACATAAAAACAAATTCCTATTGAGTTGGATCATAAAAGTCAAGCCAATAATATAATCAACTTGAAGACAGTAATTATTATTTTACGACTATGATTTCAATTGACTTGCTTGGCTTGTCACCGATTGATTTTTTGTACTGTTTTTGTGTTTCTTATGTAGTGAATGCCCTCGTTGCGGTTGATCTTTTTGCTGCTGCTGGTGATTGAGCTCGTTCAACGGCACTCGATCCAAGTCAACCAGAAAATGAACCTCACACCCCACAGAAAGCCACCCAACCCCTCAGCACTCTGGTAAATGTCTCGCGTGTTTTGTTTGTTTGCATGATCATTCATAAACTCGTAAAAAATTCAAAAACAAACAAAACCGCCACAAAAAAATTCCAATAAAATTTTCATTAACACACGAAAAATACCAAGAAATAGAAAACGCAACGAAAACGAGGAGATCCGTTTCGAAAAGCGAACATAAAACGTAACGAAGCATACAACAATAACGACAGTAACGATTCGAGGCCTAGCCCACAAACCCGTCGAACCCAATCGAAACGGAGCCGATCCAAAAAACCATTACAAGAGACACCTGCGAAAATGTTAAAATAATAATGAAATGCCAGTGCGCCCTACAAGAAATTAACTCCGATACGTGAGCATACAAAGTAAACGGCTTTTATATTTCTGGGCATTCCACATTCCAAACGCACGAACGAAAAAAAGGGGTATTGGGGGGTGGAGTCGGAACCGTGACGGAAATTCCACGATCATGACGTACTCGTCATGGCGATGACAGACTTTTATCGCCTCGAAATCGTTGGTAATCACAATCACCACATAAATAATTTATACAATTCTGAACCGTAGCACTCGATTAATGTTGGTACCGGTAAACTCTGTTAAATAGTGAATTTATAGTAAAATATTAATAACCAGATGCCAGATGCCATTTTTATGTAACTATTTTCTCTATTATCGAGCAATTGCATCGATTAATCGATCGCTGAGCAAAAACAATTTTGTTCATCTTTAACTTAATTATCGTGTCATACAAGCCTTTCGATCCCTTACATTCGGCATCCATAAAACATACAACAACCGTTGGATCGTTGGGCATGTCAACAGTAAATACGCATATCGCAGTCAAAACTCAGCCGATAACAACAATTGGGAGCCAACCGTATCAAAAATCTAGAAAAGTCACAAGCCTCGTCAAGAACAACAACGTCAGCTGATTAAAACCAAAAATGCCGATCTCAGTGCGTGAGCCAAGTCAGAGGTGGCCAATCGTAGATGGACAGCGATAACGATAGCGATAGCAGCTATTACTCCGATTTTTTCAATGCTACCCTAGATACTCTAATACTAGCTTTTGTAATAGTAAAAACATAAATATTTCCCTTTTGCATAAGGAAAACTAATATTTATATGTTTTTAGTCTTGATGTATGTAGTCACATATTGAAATGAAGTTCATGTTAATCAGATAGTAACATTTTCGAAACTCATAAGTCAATCGATTCCACCTCATTTATTTTCACGTTAGTATTCCAACCTTTGGGTAAATATTCAAAAATATGCATTTCACACGACAATCAGCCGCAATCTAAATCCCAGAAAAGACGTTCATTACCCCGCCACGAAATCTCGTGACTTTCACTAGCAGATAGACCCCCAGACTTTGGTCATCAATCACATGGGCAGGCCGGTAAAGTACCACAGCCTTGTGACAATCCAATAAGCCGTCACGTTCGAATCAAAATACATTGTTTATTGCACATTTTCCCGGCTGTCTCATTTGATTCGTTTGTTTTTTATCGAAGCACTCGTACTTTGCACACGTCATCGTCATATCGAAGACGATGATTAGGGGGCGATCCTTGACGTGATGTTGTTATTTTTACAGTTGCATTCCCGGCTCGACTGTCGAGTGCTAACTACCGCACACACCCCACTTTGCTGTCTGTGTTTATTCAATGAATTATTATTCAGCCGATCGGCAGGCATTGAATTTCACAATAACAATAACAAGATAAGGGCGAACATTACTAGTGCAATTGTTCTACTAAAATTAATGATACGAACAAAGTTCATGCAAACAAATCAGCGACTAAAATTAGATTCCAGGAAGGCAATTACGATTGATCACTTAAAAAGCATATCTGCGGAGTTGTACACGCGCAGGGTAAAAATAATCCAAGTAAAACTTATCTGCATACCTTTATAGGTTGGACACTTCGTAATGAGATTGTTATTTATTCTTTCCACACAGAAAACCTGAAAGAGAATAAGAAAGTATAAACGTTAGTCAAAATATTAAAGATACATTTCAAATATATTAATCTCAAGAGAAAGAATTTACAACGGGATGTAAAACCCAACCCCCTCATATCATAATGTTTCAAGGCTTGTCCACGACTGATATTTACTATCATAAGTCCCCCTCTGATCTATCAGTCAGGTGAACAGCTATGCAAGTGCTGTTTGCAACTTTGTCACATTTTGTCAATAAATAAGGTTAGGCTTATATAAATAGGCATTAACAGACGATCCCTTTATTCCCCATTTCGAGTTCCTGTTTGCCGACAGCAAATATTGCTGGAGTATTACACGGAATGAGCAATTTATATGGCACTTCCTGTTATGTTTGCTTCCCAGTTGACCCATTTATTTTGTAAGCCAATATTTTTTTTCGCTACAAATAGCTTATACAGAATTCTAGGAATGCTACCAAAACTAGCGCGAAGGCAATAAAAACAACTTGAGCTAATGTGATTGATCGAATAGGCAAGTCCCCTTTTTCTAAGTTAAGTTTAAAGTTTAACTTTTAAAATAGACATTGAAATAAAATAGAATATTCCGAATAGCAAATAAGATGAATTTAAAAATGTTTTAGAAATGATGGTTACTCAGGGAATTTTTTTAAGATCAATGTAAGTCCATCTTTGCATAATAAGTAAACCATCAGTGGAAAACAATTTTGTATTTTCAATTGTATTCCTTATATTTACAAACACACTCGTAATCCCCTTTCATAACTTTTCCACTTTGATAAGATTTTTTGAAGTCCATATGTTGGTTTCCGCCTTGCGAAAATAAAGCTGGCGCCTGATATATAGTATTTCGGATCGTATCAGTACGTGCGAATGACAGACTATATGCCACATGCACACGTAAGACGATATGTGCAATATCAAATATTGATGGGTGTCCTATTTGTGTAAACACTTTGGTACACAATCAATTGCAGTCTTTATGCTTTGACAGGGTCTCTGATACAGGCCGTAAACATGGTTAAAGACCATATATACTGTCGCCTATAATCCTCTGTCAACCATTCATTGTTTACATAGTATTTTCATTGGAATTCGGCACAAGTTGCGGTTGCTACTTGTTTTGTTTTCGCCTCGGCTCATTTTGCAAGCCTGCACAGTTTATCTTTTTGTGAAATATTAATTACAGGGAACTATTTATTCTATCTAATAGATAGAGTTCCTTATGCTTACAATTTCCCTTTTTCATCTTAATCAAATCAATTTTACAGACAGTTTATAATCATATAATAATCGGCATTAATTAACATTAATTAAAATCTGTAAGCCGCCTCAAATTATTGAATACGAAAACAAGTTTTGCCTTTCGATTGAATCGTGTGAAATATGTCTCGCTTTCATAATGTTGAGTAATTAAAGCTGGGGCAACACAACCGCATTTCCAATAATGACTAAATGATTAATTATAGTAGCTAAGCAATTCCTGGTTAGACGGTAAGTATTTAAAGACCTTGAGCTGGCCAGTTCCGGTCAGATAAGACGCTGTTGGCAGATCCTTTCCAGTTTTGTTTTCTTTTTTTTTTTGTATCTTTATTATTGACTTGCGGTTGGGTCCAAGTTGAAATCCGCTTGGGCTTATACCACATTTTTGTGGTTTTGTTGTTTATCAAAGTGTTAAATACGCAATGGAATACATTTCAACAGCTATAGTCAAAATAGTAGTGATAACTATTTTAAAAATAATTGTAAAGTTATTTTTCAAGATGTAATTAATACGCTATCCAAAAGTTCTGAAAAGTTACTTTATTATATTTGTTTCCAAGACGATTGTTTAAAGTTCAGATATCTGAATTTTCATCCTGTGAAACTAGATTTGTATTTATTTATTATAACTTTAAAAGGTTACAAATACCAATTTTCCTTTAAGTTAAAAAGAAGAGTATTAATATCTGTTTAACTGCTTTAAATACTATTATTTTCACCGCAACTGTGTTTGGATACATGACTGTGCGAGTGAGTGTGCGGTGTTTTTATTGAATGAAAGGCACGAAAAGCAACAACTGTCGATCCCATGGTACTTGCACTGCTTGCTTGGCCCCCATATCTCCGTCCCTCTCGCTCACGCGCTCTCACGCGGCGTATGTGTGAATGAATGCAGTGGCGTAAACGACGACAACAACAACAACAACAACAACAACAAAGGCAAGCAGCGTGAATCAAGTGAATGAAATATTTAGCGCGCCTTTTTTTTCTCTGTGTGTAATGACATTTTCAAGTGTCCGGACGCCCGTTATCCGTGTGAGTGTTTGCTTATGCGAGTGTGTGAGCCCATGTATGTGTGTGGAATGCAAGTGAGTAAACAACAATAATTGTCAGCGGCAATAACAGAAATAACATTTCATATAAATTCCGATTTGATAAGCTTTCTTCTCTAATCTCGACAGGGGATTTTCCCCCCTCCCCCGTCTTTTGCCTTTCGTCTTGTTTTTTGTTGTTGTTATTTTTTATTTTGTTTGTTGGCCAACGCGGTGTTTGCTCACTTTTATTATTTATGATACGTTCCGCTCCCCATTGCCCAATTACTTTGATGGAATGCATTGCACAAGGTATTTCTCTGTGTGCACGTAAGAGTGCGGATGCGGATGTGTGCGAGTGTTTGATTTGGCGTTTTTAAGTTATCAATGAATTTCACACACACACACACACACACTCGAAAGGCGGGCGTGAGTAGAGTAAATTTGTACGCGTACTTATTGGATTCGATTTCATTCACAGCCAGAGACCCCAATTTCCCCCACGTTCACCGACAAATCCAAGTAAGTAAAACTTACTACAGTCAGACCTGGCCAGCGGGGATTTCTTTTGGGACTACTATAAAATTAAGTATATTCATATATTTTACAGTCTACAATAGACTGAGTTTAAGATTTCACTACCAAAATGCAATTCTCTAAAATAATTACGTACTCCTCTATTTTACTACTTGCATAACTTAAACAATTTTAAAATTATTTAAAATGTTTAAATTTATTCAGTTCTAAATAAATTGTTGAAATAGTCATCATATACTGGAAAATGTCTAGTCCTGGTTAATAACAGACTCCAATATTTTCCAAAAGATGAAAATAAATACTTAAAAATAAATAAAATTATGAAATATATATTCATACGTTTGAGTTACAGATGCTTTGCTGTATTTACCTATTGACAGAAGGTAAATAGGGCTATATTTGTTCTTCTTATCAGCTACCTTATCGCTGCTCTACGCTCACTCCACAGATATTCCCCATTCTTTTTTGGTGAATGAATATCCCCCTTTTTGGAAATGGGAACACAATAATACAACCCCATTCCGGGCCCCCTCCCCATTTTCCAGCCCATTCATTTATTCCCATCTGTCGGGAGGGAGGTCTTCGCTATATCTTTCGAACTAAATCAGAACTTTGACGGCCCAGTCACAAGTCAAGCTAATTAATAACAAGCTATGTATGGTTCGAGAAAAGATTTCCCCGTCCCCCCCAAATATAAATTTTTGTTCTTACATGTTATCAGTCGAGATTCTCGCTCGTGCGCCCCCTCATCTTTTGCTTTTCTTATTTTTTCTGCTCGCCGCTTGTCAAATTTGACATTTGCTATTGAACCGTTCATAAAATAGGCGCCAGACTGATTTTTGCTTGGGTTTTCGACGCCCCTCGCCTTGCTTTCCCACTCACTTCTCGGTTTTGTTTTCTTTTCTCGTTATGATTTATTAAACATTTATTTGGCTTAATGAATTAATTTGATTTGATTTCGACAGCGTAACGGAAATGCCTGCGAGTGTGTGCGTGCGCCTTTGTCTGTGTGGGGCGCCAAAAAGGCGCGATGCACGACGCAATTGTCTGAGCTCGGGGAAAAGTGCATGACAACACAAAAGTGGGGGAAAACAAACGGAAAACCCAAAACGACAAAGGCCAGTGTGCGAAAAAAGACACAGGGGAACTTCACTAAGATACATTTTCCATCTAAAGTTCAATCCATCCTTAAATACGACATTTACTTGAGTTTCCAACATAACCCTAAAAAATCTTAAGGATACGGGTATCTAACTGAAGTATGTTTGCCAGATAAAGCTTTAATTAAATTGTTTATAATTTACCAATCGGTTCTATATTCATATTTAAAAACAAACATCTGTCAATCATTGTGATTATCTAAACCAACCTTTACAATTTATTTTATCTAATACAATTTTTGATAAATAGAAAATATTTCGAGTAGTGACATAATCTTGAGTTATCTAAAGATCCTTAAAAATGTTAAGATTTCAGGAATCTGAAAAAATTAATTATGTTGGCCGGATAAGGCGTTATTTAAATTGTTCATCATTTACCAATTTGTATTATTTTTAAATTTAAGAGTTTGCTAAAACATCAATCAATTATTTTAGTTCTTAAAAACAATCAAACTAATTTTTTCTAGTAAAAGTTTAGATAAATGGAACGCCTTTTTAATAGTTCCATAGTAACACTTTCTTATATTTCTTATTTTTTCTTGATTACATATTGTAGTCCCAATTACAGAGGATGCACTGTATTACAACAAGCTAGGAAAAACGCAGCAGGCCTCCTGAGCATAAAATAGAACGCAATATATTTTTACAAGCGTCTGAAAAAAACGACAGCAACAACAAAAGGCAAGCAAGTTAAAATAGTTGTTTAGCTATTAAGTTCCGCTTAAATTGTTTTCACATTTACCTTATGCCTTATGCCCGCGCCCCAATGCTACAAACATAGATACACACACTTGCAGATACATATACGCATACATTGAGACGAAAGCGCCAGCGGCAACAACAACGACAACAACAACAACCACTCTGGAATGAGGAGAACTACAATGGCAAAGTGCGAGGCACAAAAGAACCTAATCAAGAGCAAAACGCCGCAAATAAAGCAATAAACAAGACACAATATTTTTTTCTTTCCACTTCTGCTTCTTCCCCTCTCTTTTGCGTCTTGCTCATGC